CCACAGCCAAAGCCACAGGAATGGATTAAAATAATTTATGGATCCGAAACAGAAATTGAGAAGTGAAAACTGGGTGACAGGAGAATGAAAATGCATGAACTTTAACAACTTTAAAATGTTAAATTAGGATTTACTTCCCAGGATAAAGAAAAACAGTGAAACTGCCATTTGGGCATGTTTGATTGGATGGATTAGAGTATTGGATTGAGATTATTAATTTGTGGATCCAATTATCTCATGTTTGTTTTAACATTTTGGTTTAGGATTATTAATTCAATGGATAATTAATCTAACAAATTTGTAGGATTATTAGTAATGGGGTAGGGGTGAGATTATTAATCAAATGGATAGCTTATCCTATTAATCCAATTGGATAGTGAATACCACACTAATTTGATAGGATTATTAATACCTCACTATTAGTCTTGTGAATCAAACATGGCCTTTAGGTATTAGCAGAGAGCAGCATTATATTTTCTGAGCTGGGTAAGTAAATAAATAAATATATAAAACAGACTTCTCACTCCTTCATTTTATCATAAATCACCGGGTACCTGTGAACATCAAAATGTGAAAGCTCTATGTTGTGACTTTACCCCAAAAGAGAACAATTAAATGTTTAGATGCCTTTACCTGTTAAAGTGTATTTGGCAGGGAAGATTTTGGGCAGAAAGGAAAGGAAAAGAAATGATTAAAAAAAATAATTATAAGGAAAGGAAAAGGATTAAGAATCATTTCCTTTCTGTTCGTTTGGTAGTGACTTGTTTTTATAAATTCTTGTGTGTTTGACTCAATAAAAGGAATAGAAAAGGGAATAATTACTTCTCATAACTAACTTTGTTAATTGTTAACTACAACTTTTTTTTTTTTAATTAAATTTTTTGAATTTTTTGAATTCTATAACACCAAAACCTGTTCTTTGATGCACCTACAGCATAGAAAGCTGTTGCTTTCTTCTTATCTTCATATAAGGGGAATTTAACTGCCCCTTTATTGAGTGATATTCTAATCATATTGTATATAAAAATCAATGCCATTTACCATTTTTTGAGTAATCTAACTTCTTCTTTTTTTTACCAAGAAATTGTATTGATTATTGACATTCTGTTAAATTCCTCTTTTATGCATTCAATAAAAAGATAGTTGATTTAGAAACAATTGTTTTGTTGTTTGTTTTATATGCTTATCCTTCAATAAGAAATTATTACAAACAAATTGAAACTAATTTCGATCTTGATTGGTTACCTTGAAAAATAGAATCCAGATACAAGCAGTTGAAAGATCAAACTTTGGTAGATATCTCTCTTCCATTCCATAATAACATAAATGGCGAAAACATAACATAATTTCTACTTCATCTCTTTTATTTAATTTTTTTTTTTCGCAACATATCCCCCCCATTGAATAATAATAATAGTAATAATAATAATAATAATAAGAAGAAGAAGAAGAAGAAGAAGAAGAAGAAGAAGAAAATAATGATGAAGCACAAATCTGAACAGAGAAGAGTTGGTGTGGGATATGTTATCCATAAAATTTTGTTATAAAAAATAATAACTTGCTTGACAAAAAAAAAAAAAAAAAAATTACTGATACAACAGATGCTCAACTAAATCTGAAGATCGAAAATCTGAAGATGAGAGAGAGCTAGGCACTCTGTGAAAAAAAGAGAAATTTTTTTTTTTTTTTTTTTTATCAGCAAAGAAAATAAACTTTATTAATGAAGAGGAAAATCTAATACATCAATAAAAGAGATAACGGAAAAAGATGATGAGTGCAAAAAGCATCATAGCGAGCCATATCAATCCCAACTAGGTTGGCACCAATAAGACCGCCCAATCATATACCAGCACACCATCAAGGGTTGGTGAGGAACCAACCACAAACACCCAAAACAACCTCACCAGACAAACCAAAACTAGTAAACAACACTACAACAGGACAATTCAAATAAAAAAACATCAGCAATAGGAAATAGAACACCCACACAGCAAATACACCAGCTACACAGCACAGAAAAGACCAACACAGCAGCAGCAGAACACCCACATAATAGAAGGGTCCATCACAGCACTACACAGCACAAAAGCAAAACACCCACATAACAGAAGAGTCCATCACAGCAGCAGCACTCAACAAATTGAATATCAGTTCAAACCATCTGTAGCCAATACTGCAAACTGCACCAGCTCCCCTAAAGCAGAACTGAGTAGCCAATAACCAACAGCTACACATCATTCTGTAGAATTGAGCACCAATCAGCAAACCTCAAAGACAACCAGCCACCACTCAATCATTCAGCACTCTAGATCAGAGCCCAAGGCAAAAGAGCATACACCTACACAGCAAACTAGTGCCCAAGCCATCTCCAAATCAATGAGGCTCCAACTGTAATATGTTTGCCAAGACCACCCTAATGAACCCTTTTTTAGAATTGCATAGACCTTCACCCATCTCTTAGCAGATAGCCAAAACATACTAACATTGATGCTAAATCAGACTTCACACCTATATGCTCGTTATCAATCAGGTTGCAGCGGACACCTTAGCTGAGCATCAGCAACAACAGAAGCGAAATTTGTTCTCAACAGCAACAGACGACACTAAAGCTTAATCGCAGCAGCAGCCAGAAAACAGACCATAACCGCAGCCAGACACCCAACCTACTAGCAGAGCCTCAGCTTGCAGTCAATACACCAGTAGCACCCCCATTACACTGAATAACAAATCTGCCATAAATTTGAGATAATGTTATGCACAGAATAATGCAGATCCTTCAACCTGGACTTTGTCCACAATGCCACTCTAACCTTCACCAACTCCTCCAAATTTGCAAAATGAGGCTACTCATTATTAAACAAACAAGCATTTCTTAATTTCCAAACTGACCATAGCACAGCCATAGGAACAATTCTCCACAACATCTTTACCTTCTTTTTCACCTTAAAACCAGCCCACCAACTAAACAAAGACAGAAATGATTCAGGAATGGCCCAACACAAACCCCACCAACCAATAATCCCAGATCACACTTTCCAAATACGACTACAATGCAGCAAGACATGACTCTGAGTCTCCACCTCTGACTTGCAAAAACCACAAAGAATATTTGCATTAGACTTGGGCACCCCAACCCTTTGCATAAAAGCAGCAGACTTCATCCTACCTCTCCAGGCTAACCAAGTCATGAATTGTACCCTAGGAGGTGCTATATTTTTCCAGATATTCATCACGAATCTGAGATTACACCCTTTATGCGAAGCCATCCAATCCCATGCAGAGGCAACAAAGAAAACACCAGATGGATTAGCCAGCCAAGTGCACTGATCCTCCACATTACTCCTTAAATTGATACAACATGAAGGTACTCACACAAGTCAGCCAGATCCTCCTCTTCCCAAGCAAACAGTTGCCTTCTAAACATAAGATTCCAATCATCACCCTCATTTTTTCTTTGTACAAAATCAGATACTGAACCATCTTTATGAATTGATAAGGAAAAAAGTCTAGGGAAAACAAGAGAAAGGCTTTGGTTATTACACCACACATCCACCCAAAAATTTGTCCTAATGCCATTTCCAATCACAATCTTAAAATTAGAGAAAAAGAACTCCCTTAAATATGGATTTCGAGCAGCTAAGAACAAAATATCCTTCCATAAAACAGAAACCCCCCCTAACTCTACTGACAATGGATTCCACATTCCTCCATGCTGACCATACTTGTTGCACAACACTTTTTCCATAAGGCCTTGTCTTCCACTCCAAATTTCCATCACCATTTGATCAACAAGCACTCATTAAACTCACTAAGCTTCCTCACGCCAAGCCCATCTTGACACTTATTTTTACACACCTCCTCCCACTTAACAAGATGTACTTTTCTCTTCATCTCATCACCTCCCCACAGAAAAGTAGACTAAATTCTGTCCAACTTGTTAGCAATGCCCACAGGCATTTTAAATAAAGACAGAAAATACACAGGCAGTCCAGATAATACAGACTTGATCAAGGTTAATCTACCTGCAAATGATAGGCATGTCCTTTTCCATAGTGCTAGCTTCTTCTTGAATTTGTCAACTACTAGCTGCCACATTCTCTTACACCTAGGATTTGCACCTAGAGGCATACCAAGGTAATTCAAGGGCAATTTTTGAGTTAAACAATTCAGCTTTTTGGAAAATGCCTACACCAATTCATCTTCAACACCAATCCCACAAACTTTACTCTTATGAAAATTAATCTTAAGCCCAGACATTACTTCAAAACATCTCAATATTCTCTTCATCATAAAGATTTCCTCCCAACTTGCCTCACAAAAAATAATTGTATTGTCCGCAAACTGAAGATGAGACACCTTAAACTGACTGTGACCCACTGAAGCTCCTTTGATGAGACCAAACTCTTTTGCTCTTTCTAATAAGATATTCAAACCTTCCGCCACCAAGTTGAAGAGAAAAGGTGAGAGAGGATCACCTTGCCTTTGACCTTTGTGAGGCGAAAATTCTGAAGTTGGGGACCCATTAACTAACACAGACACTCTAGCTGATGATACACATGCCTTTATCCAACCCACCCACTTTTCACCAAAACCAAAATTGAACATCATGGAACACAAGAACCCCCAATTCACTAAGTCATATGCCTTCTCGAAATCTAATTTAAGAACAACTCCTTTCTTATTGGATTTTTTCCACCAGTGCACCACCTCATTAGCAATTAAAATTCCATCGACAATACATCGACCACTCAAAAATCGGACTGCGCTTCACTAATAATCTGTGGAAGAACTTGCCTCAATCATCTAGATAAAACCTTCGCAAGAATTTTATACACTGAGTTGACCAAACTTATAGGCCTAAAATCAGCCAACCCAACAGGACAGTCCTTCTTCGAAATGAGTAAAATAAACGAACTACTTACACATCTAGCCAGCTTCCTATTTAAGTGGGATTCCTTCAACACCTGAATAACCTCATCCTTCATTATGGACCAACACCTTTAGAAACAAGCTAGATTGAACCCGTCCGGCCCAAGAGCCTTATTCTCATCACATTCTTTCACAGCAACCCAAATTTCTTCCTCTGTAAATTCAGATTCCAACATAGCTACAACTTGTTCACTTATTTTAGTACTTACACCAACTAATGTAGGCCTACTCTCCCACACCTCTGAAAACAACTTCTCGAAAAAAATCCACCACTGCCTGCTTAACCAAGTTTGGCTGAACCACCAAAGATCCATTCACTGCCACAGAATTAAGTAAATTTTTCCTCTGTCTTCTGCTAGACATCATGTGAAAAAACCTTGAATTCTTATCACCATTTTCAGCCCAAAGTAACCTGGATTTTTGCTGCCACATGTTCTCTTTTTTTCTCTTCAGGTCCCAAACTGAACTTAGCACCTCTCTTCTACGACTTTTCTCAAACTCTTGCAAATCTCTAGACTCAGCCTTTAGGTCCCACTCATGCAGTTCATCCTCATCTTTTTTCCTATTTTCATCCACATTTCCAAACACTTCACTATTCCATATTCGTAATTGACCTCGCAAATGCCCTAACTTTTTCATAATCCTATAACTAGCCCACCCACTTACCTGACAATTGTCCCATGCAGTCTTAACTGCAACCACAAAATTAGGATGTAAGCTCCAAGCATTAATACACCTGAATGGTTTTGGGCCCCAGTCCCTCTCATCAGTCATAATGATGACTGGACAATGATCAGAAATACTTCTATTTAATCCCCATTGTTTAAAGGAGAATTTCTCAAGCCAGCCAACGTCCAGAAGAAATCTATTTAACCTGCTCCATCTCTCACCCTCCACATCATTACACCATGTAAATGATCTTCCAAGCATTGGCAAGTCCATCAACTCTATAGTGTCAATAAAGCCATTGAAGTCCTTCATCCCCCTATCTCTTCTTATGCACCATTTCCTCTCACTCATAAACCTTATCTCATTGCAGTCACCCCCAATGCACCAAGACCTTGAAAATGCTACTCTCAATTTGGACAATGATTCCCATAAAATCCTCTGGCCACTAACATCGTTTGGTGTATACACATTAACAATTACACATTCAAACGAGTGATTAAGTATTCCCGCCAACAACAAAAAACTTTTATTGCAACAGCACTCTTTAAGCTCAAATACCTCAGGATTCCATAAGCATAGAAGACCACCTGCACTGCCATCGGCACCCGTGTAGACGCCCTCTTGGGCCTCACTACAGTTCGGACCCAATTTGTGTCACGGTTCTGTATCTAATCTCACAGAGTGCAATGCAAGACCGATGAATCATCAAAGAGTCCAAATCTGGCAAATCATTTTTGAAAATAGATTTTTTTTTAAAGAAGTGCCAAACATGGACTGCTTTGCCAGATATAGAGTCGCCACCTAAATATTTTATTTTGGGAAATTTAGGAAACCCTGACTCGTTGCCTAAGGCCACGTGACCGTCATCACCAAAGTTGCCTCGGCTCGGGAACTTGGGTACGATTGGGGAAGGTCACTTCGTGAGCACCCCCGTTCGCCCGATCAAAGATCGGCCTCTACTAATCATGATATCTAGTTTTGAAAACATTATGCGTTCTTATTCCGGTTATTAGCCTAGATTTACTATGTGATGCACACAGCATACAAGTATAGACTGGATCGCCTGAATTGGAACAAAACATTTCATGTTTGTTTCGAAAAACGATTTGCTACTTGCAAGTAGGCCAAAATGTGGATTTGCCACCCTCAGGTGGGCTTAGAAAACATGATGATTTGCCACTCTCAAGTGGGCTTAAAACTCACAATTGATGAATTGTTCCAATCCAAATAACCAAACCTTCATCCACAGGCATTCAGGCAGTTATACCACATAAGCAGTTAGCCTCATGGCAAGCATGCTATCATGGCAGTCACTCATACGCATGCAAGGATGCTAAAGCATAAGTACTTACCGAGAACTCCAAGCCAAAACAGAAGCTATGTTAGAAATCCATGCATGATCCTAACTATACAGAAATGCCTAATGCAACATATGCAAAAATGCAACTACAATAGGCTCGGCTATTCTAAAATGACATGTGGAATGCTACAGCTAACAAGTATTCAACTCGGAATTGAGATACAAATGCAGTTAGTATGATGCGCCGAGCTCGGTGCATGCAAAACAGATGAATGATGCAAACATACAAGCATAAGTATGCTAATTGAAACATGCTCTAATCTAACCATCATAAGCTGGTAAATAAAAGGGAGAAAGACGTGGGGTTGGAAGACATACATCACATGCACACACACTTATTACAGTTGTGCCCTCGCTCGGAGGGTCTGAATAAATAATACAGTCCGAATAATAATTACAGTCCGAATAAATAATTACAGTCCGAATAAGTACAAAATCCTAATTAATTAACAACTTAACTAGGAAAACGGATAAATTAGCATGCAAGCTATGGACCACCTCAGCTCTGTTCCGAATGATGAATGATGCATGTTCGAGTTGCCTTGCGCGGAAATCCATTGCGATGTCCCGATTCGCCTCTGTTTACACTTAATCCCGGAATGCTGTGCGAAGCTCCAGAAGGCTGTTGATTTCTGATTGGCTGTAATAGAGAGCAAGAAAGGGGCATGGCAAAGTATTTTCACATATGTATGTGTGACTACTCTTCAGGAAGTGTAGTCCTCGATCCTCATGCCACCAATTACGCATCTCGATGCATGATGGCCGAGGAGTCGAATTGTACTACTCGATGTGAAATGAATGCACATATAAACACAACAAGACCTAAACTCCATCATGGGTAATCCGGAGTGTCGGCAACCGGGAATTGAGACACGTTCCGTCACTCGGAGTACGAATCGTCCCTCGTTTCCCGTGCTTGGGCTAACTCCTATCCCAAACACGATGCAAATGAGATGACATACACAATGTAACTAACATACAACCTAGCATACACAATGCTATGAAATGGCATACACAATGCCCGATGTAACATGGCATACACAATGCTCTAACATGCAACTCAGCATATACAATGCTATGGACCGAAATGGCATACACAATGCATGATGTAACATGGCATACACAATCCTCTAACATGCAGCTCAGCAAACATAATGATATGGACCGAAATGGCATACACAATGCACGATGGACTTACACCATCATGAGTGGATCTCAGCCACACTCACATCAGTGGCCATTAGATGAAAATGAGACAACCGAAATACGTGCACATATGCACGAATACCAAGGACCGAACCTAAGGCATCAAATGCCACTCTACCAAGGCATGGCAAGGGATGCAATATGGCATAGAATAGCACATGATAGAACTCTGAAATAGCATGCAAAGTGGTCCCGAACCATGCAAATATGTCACACAATGCAAGTTAGGGGGCCCGGGTACCGACACTAGTGAAGTGCGTTACACTAGAGGTACCCAAAAGCAATGCACCAAAGGCAAAACCAACCCCAAATAAACCCTAGGCAGGTCTGAAGCAGTGGGGAAGTGGCGTAAAATGATGGCTCGGAATGCAACGAAATGGAGCTCATTCAATGGTCCGAAAACAAAGCATACAAGCCCGACTCTCAAATGCATTTAAAGAGTACAAAACATGGCAATATGGAATTAGCATAGGCTCTTAAATGTGATGCAAAACGACCCCAAAGTATGAAAGTACCTCAGCACATGCATGCAATGGACCTCAAACCTCAAAGTTAAGCATGGGTATTGAACTACAAGCATGCAAAATAAACATCATTCAAACACGAGACCCAAAAATAGAGTTAGGATAGTCCAAAATAAGCACATTATCAGTTCAAGACATGGCCAAAATGTGCTAAAATCAAGGTCCAACAAAGCATGCAAAGAAAGCTAGTGAACCATGAGTTGTTCTACAACTATATAAAGCATACGTGGGCTCACCAAACCAGCCAAAAACAGATGTATGCCATGTCAAAATATGCCCAAATAACCACTGAAACTCAGTCAATGCATGCAAAAATGATGGGCTCCTTTGAAAGGCTAATAAGAGGGTTACCCTACACATACATGATGGACATCCATGATGGAAAAACCACCTCTGGAAATAGGTTATGACAGCCCTAAAACTCACCAAAAAGGCCCTGAAATCAACCTAGGAAGCATGCAAATGAAAGACCCTTTGAAAGGCCTTGAGTGGGATTGTTCTACACATGCATCATAGACATAAAATATGGCCAAAGGGGCTCTAGACAGAGTTAAGGTAGACCTTGAAACTCACCAAATTGGGCCTAAAAAGTGACTTCACAACATGCAAGTAAGGGGCCCTTTGGAAGGCCAAAAGGGCCAACAAAGAGAGGGTCACCCCCCCTCTGATTTTAGCTCTCAAAAACACATCTAAGCCACTGAAAATCCACTGGATTTCAGTAGCTAAGAGGCCAAACCAAGGCCAATGCGAATGCTCTAATGCATAGCCCTAATCATGAGGAAATGAAGCATGTCAAGAGGAAGATGACCCCAAAAAGAAAAATGCCCTTAATCAAACATGTTTGTAAGCTCAAAAGAAAACTTTTTTCAGCTTATGTCGAAGTCCAAAAATTCTTGCAAATAAGGCTAAACTATGGAGCAAAATAATACAAAAATGGGAGAAATAGAGGCTTACCCTTGTAGAATCGACCCTCAGCAACTTCTGGACCAAGAATGTGACTCCTCAAGCTCTGAAAATGACCTCCAAGATTCTTGAATGGATGGTGGAGGTGGTAGGCTATGAGGTGTAGTGTAAAATGGCCAAGAATAATGGGGTTTTGATGCTTGGAATGGAGAGTTATGGAGGAGGGTGTATGTATGCCTTAACCAAAGGATTCAACCCTTGCAATGGAAGCTCAGCCCCTCCTTTATAGACGAGAGGCTCTAAATTTTCTTAAGGAAGCTAAAAACCAAGCTTAAACATCCTCCATACACGTGTATGGATGATGCATTCTGAGGCTTCCAGCTGGCACATCTGGCTTCAACTCAATGAGACAAAAAAGGAGAAAACTGGCCGACCAGTTCAGGTGGTCGGCCGACCAGTTCAAAGGGTTCAGGTGGTCGGTCGACCACCTTTTCTGGTCGGCCTGCTACTTTTTCTGGTTTTTCAGGACAAAAATTGGTCTGCCGGAAAGAAAGGTGGTCGGCTAGTGATTGGGAAGTCCAAAAGTGGTTGGCCAGGTGTCCAAATTGAAGCCCCAGAAGTTATCTTTCCAATGGCACCATCCTTGCATCAAAATTCCTCCTGTTCAGAAAGTTATGCCTGGTTTGGTGAAGCCGCGCAGATTCGGTCCAACCGAAGTGATGCCCTACTTCAACCAATCATATCTCCCCCGTCCGGAATTGGCTTTAGGAGATTATTGAGTGCAAAATGAAGCCCCGGAAGTAAGCTTTCCAACGGTGGTGGCCTCATAGCTAGAATCCAAGTATGAAAATGAATAAGCCCGATTCAACGAGGGCTACTCGACTCTCTCCTACCCGGATTCATGCCGAACTTCTCCCAAACTAGTTTCTTCCCTCTTCTCTTCTTTTCTTCAACGCCAAACCCCTAAGTAAGGTGTTTTGAAAGATTTTTCAAAGATTTCATCTCTCTTTCATTCATTTCCACTTTGTTCTTGCTCAGTTTACCGAAAAGCACAACATTTAACAAAATGTGAGCCTCAGAACATTGTAGGAACTTTATTTCAAAAATGTTTTGAAAGAGAGGATTTTAAGGTCTAAAATCTATCCAAAATACCTTTGGTCCAAAAAGGGGTATGAAGTTGCGATTTGACTCTCTCCTTGCCGAAGAAACTGAACCTTTCCCCTGCACACCTTTCTTCACCATGTAAACCATTAGTCGCGTCCGAGGCTTAAGGTCGGTCAAAAATGGGGTGTCTACAGTTGCCCCTCTTTGACAGAACTCGGAAGTCATAAGTGACGGGAGTGAATGTCAAAGCCCAGAGGTGACCCATTTTTGACAAGGCCGAAGACTTAGACAAACAGGCGAGATAAACAAAGATGTGCCCGCAGGTAGGGGGCAAAATGTAAAATGATATGCACAAAGCCGAACGTAACTCATGATCATGCAAATGAAGCTATAATGAAGCACATATACATAATGAATGCAACAATTTAAGCGAGCGAATAAAAACCAAATTACATTACATGCAGAAAGGATATAAAAAGATTATGCAATCTTAGCGGGCATG